CTATCGGATTAAGACCGCGGCTTTCTCGACATGACCACGAGTTAAATATCATATTCGTAATAAATATTTTTTACATTTCTGTGTTTTTCGTATGTTCATTGAAATTTCTGTAGTGCTACGAAAACAGAACTCAATAGTAATTCAGTATGCACTATTGTAAAAATAATAAAATATAATTTGTTATAATTTTTAGTTACTTATGAATTATTCTTAGTTAAAAACTTGATGTTAAAAACTAGTGATAAAGCTAGATCCAATAGAGGTTCAGAAGCAGGAGGTCAGAAATAGGGATGAAAGTTTTTATAAAAGGTCCGCTGATGAATATAAGAGTTAGTAGTCGCGAAAATCTATTTACTATTGGTAAACGAGTGAGCTCAGATATTATCGAATTTTTTGTTAGTGTGATATTCATCTGACTTGTTATGGCGTGAAAATATCGTAGTTTGTTAGCATTGTGTTCTACGATTCCAAAGATGAACAAATTTTGACGATCGTTGGAAACATTACCAACAAATAATTATCGTGAGTATCCAATTGTGCATATATAATTTTAGACTACCTGTCCAAAGTTTCGTTATATGTAAGACACAGCTTTGAAGAAATATTCCAATAGGTGAAATCGTTCTCAATTTTTCTGAAATAATCTGAAATACTTCTGAAGTAGCTGAATTTTCCTCAATTTCTTTTCAATAATTGACAGAGAAATATTTTTCTATTTAGAAAAGAAATTGTACAGAATTCATGGATTCGATCGATATCAGTGTTGTGTAAGAGGATTATACTATTGGATGCGATCGTAGCCGGTAAAGTTGTAATAGAAACTTCACCGGGTGATGATTGCATCCAATATCAAATCCCTGTACATCTACCGTTTACAGCTATATGCACATCACTCTACTAAGTATTGTTGTTAGGGTCGAGTATGTGACTGGTACACAAATAAGAAAAAAAATTTGTGACTAGATCATATACTCGTCTTTAATGGCAAGAAATATCACCTGAAGATTCAGTTCACATCTCGTTCATTTATCTTTGGTGATCTAACTATATGTTGTATCGAAATATCATAAAGCTAGATCAGCAAAGGAAAGATGCTCGAGACATAGCAACACGGGATATTGTCGGCGATCACATATCAACGATACAGACACGTATCGTTGATTTTTTGTAGGGATAATTTAATGTTAGTACTACTAATGCATGTGAAATAGTATGTATTTAATAGTATAAAAGATGTCCTAAAATTCGCGTATTCGGAATACAGGATATGATATTTTATACTAAAACAAACAACTTTTTCCTTTTGCAAAATTGCGTTTGATAAGTAGTTTTTGCAGGAGAGTAGGTTGAAGTTATCAAATAAGCACAAAAATTATTTATCAGATGCAATTTTAGTAAAGGAAAAAGTTGTTTATTTTAACATAAAATATATTCTATACTCTAGACTGTGCGAATTTTGGGACATCCTGTATTATGTTTTAGCGAGCTTATTTTATTTTCGCGATATTAGTATAGCAGAATGTCTTTATTATAAACTGATATATAAAAATTACTGGAGTCTTCTAAAAAAAATGAGTGCCTTTGATTACATTAAATTCACATATATTGTAGATTGTCATGAAAGTAAATAACTTTTAGTCACAGAGTTCAAAGGGACTTTTATTGTGATATGTTAATGCAAGCTAATCATATCACAGTATAAGTTACCTAGTTCTCTGTCGATTATTTTCATTTTTTGATCGTATATTTTTTTCTAGCGAGAGAGTACCACGTAAGCTTTTTAGAAAAAAAAATAGGATCAAATTCATTTTAGCGCTAGCTGGCAAAACAGAGGTACAGCGTGAGATGGATATAATCCAGTTTGACTTACATTTTACAGTCACTGGGTAATATTCGTCCCTTGTATGTACTAAATAATCATCTTTCTTAGAGCGCTCATATTAGCATTCTAGATTTATCATATTGTTACAATTACTTTATGTGTACGTATTGTCGATATAATTAATGTTATTTATCTTATTAAGTAACAAAATATGGATTACAGCAGATGAAATAGATTTGCTTGTGAGTATAATCTATTTCATATGGAAATGTTTAAGAGTCACCAACCTTGTTTACGAGGCAATTTCTGAAGTCTATTTGCATGTCAGACACTGAAACTCTATCATGAGGTCTTTTAGGTCCACTGACACTTGAGACTACAGTGTTCAAATCCAAAGTGACCACCTCGGAAAAGATTGGATCTTGACTCGGGTCATCATAATTCCTTAACATGCGTACGTTTTTAAGATATTTCTCAATCTTATCAATGTGTTCTTCAGCTCGACCTAGATAATACAGAAAAAAATATATTTCGTATTGTAAAAGATATTTATAAAAATATATAATTACTGATAGAAAAAATTTTACCTGTTTGCTTGAGATATGCTAAACTTTGTTGATCCACTGCAAAAAAGCCTACGGTTGCACCGTATTCCGGGCACATATTAGAAATCGTAGCACGATCCGCGATACTTAGCTGCGTTACGCCTGGTCCAAAGAATTCGACAAATTTTCCAACCACTCCGACTTGTCGAAGATTCTGCAAATGTGTAAAATATTATAAGTTTATAAGATTATATAACTGATACTTATCACTTATGTATAAAAATATATAGTATATTCCATTATAAACTTTATCCATTAAGAAATAAGTAAAATTGTATTTATAAAAACATATAAAACATTTAATATTACAGTTTACATATATATTACAATTTACATAAAAATATCTCTCTAAAAAGCTTCTATATTTTTACTACGCCTGCCCGGAAAATTCTTACCTTTGTAATAGTTAAAACAAGATCAGTAGATGTGGCATATTGATTCAATACACCTTCTAATTTATATCCCACGACTTTTGGTATTAACATAGAAATTGCTTGACCAAGCATAACAGCTTCTGCCTCAATACCTCCAACTCCCCATCCAAGTACACCCAGACCATTGACCATGGTAGTATGAGAATCAGTACCAACTACACTGTCAGGATATAGAAAATTGTTGGAGTCAAATACCACTCTTGCCAAGTATTCTAAATTCACTTGATGCACGATACCGCTTCCGGGAGGAACAATTAACATATTTTTAAATGCCTTTGCACCCCATTTAAGAAACATGAAGCGTTCTTTATTTCTCTCAAATTCGAGTTCTTCATTCTTTTTTACGGCATCATTGCTGAAATAAGCATAATAATAATAAAATTTATATAAACCAGATTATAGGCAATATAACACAAAAATAAAAAAAAAGATTCTTGGATTTATCTTATTTGTATCTCTTCTCAATATTATCAAGCATATTACATAAAACTTTTTCTTTTCTTGTAACATTTCAACAATATTAGAGCTTCCAGATTATTTTTTATTAATTTATGTGTGTGTGTGATAACCTTTAACTCTTCATTATTTAAAAAAGTCAAAATACACTTGATAAAGCATACTTGATGAACCATACCTTCTAGTAAAATCAGCTTGTATTGAATGATCGATTACAAGGTCTGATGGACAGACTGGATTAATTTTATTAGGATCGCCGCCGAGTTTCTTTACAGCATCTCTCATTGCTGCAAAATCCACGACTGCCGGTACTCCAGTAAAATCCTGTTTGTAATTGAATAAATAACAATAAGTATATTTTTTGCACTTGACTAAACTCGATAAAATATGGAAATTTCTGAGACTTTTTTACCTGTAATAGAACTCTTGCAGGCTTAAAGGCCACTTCGACTCCATCTTGAAGGGATTGATTATTTTCCCAATCCAAAATTTTCTCAACATCCAGTTTTGTTACTTGGAAATTGTCGCAATTACGAATGGCGCTTTCCAAGAGAACTCGGATGGAAAATGGTAATCTGTCTATAAGGCCGATATATATTAATATATATTCATTAGATGTGAAATAAGACCAAAAAACTTACCATATTTTGTGCCTAAACTGCCAATATCATAATACTGGCAATCTTTCAATCCAATTTTAATGGATTTTAATAGATTCTTGTAAGGATTTAACTCTGAAATATATAAAAATTATATAGTTTATTTTTATTATAAATTAAAAAATGTATGACAAAATATATTATTTTTATATTTTTATTGCGGTACTGTTAAAATAAAAAAATTATAAAATTTAATAGCATCAGAAAGCAGAATAAAATTATTCCAATTTAATTTCTATTAATATATTTTCTTTTCCTTTAAATTTAATTAATGTGTATTCCCAATTATAAAAATATTTAAATAAATATTTAGAAGACTACAGTTGCATCTTCAAAATTTAAAATTTCTCTTTTTTTACATATTGCAATTTTTGACATTAATCAAAATATCTGCTTAAATTCGTGGTACAGTGAATACATATAAGAAACTATAATATTTTATGATACTCTTCGCGTTTGTATTAATATATATAACTCTATAAAAATAAGTATTTTTTAAACTCTAAATGTTTTATTTTATATATTGCAATTTTTATCTTCACTTAGAACACCCATGAGTTTTAATTCCTTGAAGTTCGAATATTATTACGGAATATGCGAATTAATATTTTTCACTGGAATAAATTGATCTAATGCAATGAGTTAACGATAATAAATCCGTTGTCTTCACTTGTTTACATTTCATTTTTTAACAAAATAACGCCAATAAACAAGTACACATCTCTCCACTTACCAGCCATGATTGTCACTGAACAAGTCACGTCGGCCCCATTGCACGATACGTATATACGCTTATATGGCTTATACCGAGTGTCCCAGAAACACTGATATTCGCAATATATTATTTCCTTAACAATTTTTTGTCAACACCACCACCGCATGTCGCGCAAACGCGGAGCAATTCTGTGAATGAATTATTTTGCTTTTCAAATCGAAATCAGGCACTAAAAAGCGCGAAAATATAAAAAAAAGAGAACGGAATAAAATGAATTCCATTCATCAGGTTGCGTATTGTAACACCTCTCCCAAGTTAATTCGCATAATTCGCTCAATTACGACGGAGAGGAAGGGCAAAGTTCAGTTATCGCATAATGAAATCGTTAAGCGACGCTGGGTACATCGATCACGTGGTACGTACATGTGCGCAAATGTATGTGGCGCGATGTATCGCGCGAGACGCGAATATCGCGATCTGTCATGTCACACCGTCAACCGTCACACAAACGAACCGACGCAGCAACAAACTTCGAGCAGTAAGTGCCAGTATTTACGTGATAACCAGATAACACAGTTATCGGTTCTCCCTTCGACGTCGAATTCATTTTTCAAGGAAACTACAAATCTCGCGTGTCGATTGGTTTTGCGAACGTCGCGCGAGACTCGAGGTCCGAAGATGGAACGAAACTTGGTGAAAACATTGGATGACACGTAAGCGTAATGGGGCATATAGGTTAGGAAAATCTTCCTCGATACAAGATTTTGAACATTTTTCAATTTCTATTCTATAATAAATATTATTATATTGTGAATATTACGTAGGCTCGGTTTTTTGTTGTCTTTTTTTGTGATGTAAAAATTGTATTTTTCTAGCTATGATTCAAGTAGTGAGTAAAATTATCACTACAAAATGATCAGTTTAATCATTAATCATAGCTATAAATGCACAATTTTTACATTGTCATTATTAAATGAGTAAATACAAATTAATGAAAAATTGATTGATTAATATTATTTAATATATTTATCCATCTTTGTTTTCTTGAGCATTACATTAATTATTAATCAATCTTGTATATTTATCCAGTAAAGTTATTGTTGTACCCTATAGGCACGACAAGGAAGGAATCATTGGCTGTATTTTGGCTGATCACGCTGGCCTCTGTCTTGGAGGTAATAAATCGTCAAAGATCCAAATAAAAAAATCATAGATATTATAAAAAAATTTCAAGCATGTATGACAAAATTTGCATAAAGTTATAAACTTTTGTAGTCAAGGGCGATGCATCGAGCGACAGTGCTGGATTGATAGCGGCCATAGCGGATCTAGTTGCAAAATTGGAACCGAAATCTGGATCACCAATTATATCTCTTCAAAATGATAATAAGTAAGCGAAATAATTTTGCGATATTTCTAAATATAAAATAGAAACTTGCTTGAATTTCAGGCAGTGTATTATACTTCGTAAGGAACCTGTAGTTGGTGCTATATATAAAGACATATCGATTTGAAGTAATCACTGTTGTACAAGTGTGGCTGAAACTTATAATATTTATATCCAAAATGCAATCTTTTTTTACAAAAAACATTTAAGTATTAAATATATGCGCGAATTGTTAATAAAAAGAAATTTAATAGATAAGATATGTGGCTCTCTCTCTCTCTCTCTCTCTCTCTCTCTCTCTCTCTCTCTCTCATCATATAAGGATTTATAGTAAATTTCAACTAGTTGTATAAAAATTATATATATATATATATATATATGTGTGTGTGATCTTTTAACATTTTACAAGATCTTACAATGAACCTATAGTTGATTTATATATTAAATAAAATAATTTATATTATACACAAGGGTTTAGCATCAATCGCTCTTTTTCCGTTTATTTCTTCTTTCGTACCATTTGCTTGTGGCAAGCTGAATTAATTCGTAATTTTCATATAGCCAAGACATAAGTACAATCATAAACATTATTATACCAATTAATAGGTGCAATATTTTTTCACTCGGGAAGAAGTAAGTCTGAAATAATGGAAGAGATTACTTTACCGCTATGCGATTTTAGCGTACATACATATAAAATTACATGGATACTTTACGTGTGATAAATTAGTGGCAAACCCTGCGACAAGTAGACATGCGGAGAACATGGGCTTTGGTACTAGTCCGCGTAATGGACGATAGACTGTGTCTTGGTGTCTCTTATTAATGAATATCACCGAATGTATGATTCTCAGGCCCATGTTCACGCAGTTGCCGAGAATAAACCCGACCGGACCAAACCAGGTAGCAAATAGATATGATGCACCCAAGAATGTGATCGATTGGTAAACCATGATCAAGTTGCTCTTGTTTATGGTCGCATTGTCGGCTGTTGCGTTAGTGTAGCATTCGGTTACGCCATTGATTCCTAACAATAACACGGCGAGACAGTGTGCTCTTAGCAATAGAACAGGTAAGGGTAAAATCAACTTTGAGCCGCCGTACAACCAGAGCAACAGGCTTGAATAATACTGGCCGAATACTAGAACCACCAAACCGATACATGTAACAACAGAACACAAATGTGTCAACACATTCACACTCTCTTGTACTTTCACCTAAAAATATCATAGTTTATAAACATAATAGGTACCAAAAATTTTCTAGTAAACGTGGAAGGGTATAATAGACGCTTACTGGATTCTGATCAGAGATCGTTTTATCTCTTTTCACCATCTGTGTGAAATAAAAATAACCACTATCTTCGATTGGACGGAAAATAAATCTAGCAGCTAGCGAACCCATATTATTCACTATCTCGTAGACTCCCTTAAAGAAAGAAAAAATGAGCATCTAATGACGACATCGGAGTATACGCAAGTGTCCTAAAATTCGCGAATTATAATATTGCAATAAAAAAGGTCTTAAAAAATGAAGTAAGAAAGTTGTTTGTAAATTCTTATTTTAAGCAGTAATTCTTTTAGATAAGAGTTTAAATATGGCTAATTACAAATTTTATGTTTGAACAGTCACCGGCAGGCCCCTATTCTGTAACTCTCAACGCAAATTTCGTTTTCATTATAACGTTGCTGCGCAGCTCTTTCATCATGGTAAAAAAGCTGCGCAGCAGCGTTATAATAACGAAATTTTTGCGTTAAAAGTTACAGAATATATCTACTGATCATGAGTCATGCATATTGTGTAGTGTTTGTGAGTATTAGTGAGCACGCTCATTAATACTACAATACGACACGTGCGATTAATGGGCAGATGGCCATTTAAACATAATCTAATTGATCATATTTAAACCATTATTATTTTAAAAATTACTGTTAAAAATCAAAATTTATGAATAACTTTTTGACTTAATTTCTCGAGAACTTTCTTGCTACAGTATTTTGATTACAGATTTGGGAGATACTCTGTATATTGACACAAACCTGTTCTGTAAACGTTAATACTGGCATTATAGTCATGATCAATCTTTCGCCTTCCGTCAAAATCTGCTTTAGGATTCCTTGCCTAAAGAAGCTCCACGTGAGATTAGTCAACTTTGCATCAAAGTACGAATCCTACGGAGTAACTGTTGTATTTTTTCTTACAAAACGATAATGTAACAATGCAATTATAATACATACATTATTTTCTAGCTGACAAGGTAAAAAATCTTCTATAGTATGAAAGGGAAACTCTCTTATCACATATTCATTGCTGTTATCTTTCAAAGACATTCTTCGTTTCTGTGACTTGTTAAGTTTCTTGATATGATAATGAAAATATGCATAATGACTAGTTGTATAAAATATTGCCGCAACAAGTTGAGCGATGCCGAACGCAAGTAATGCGTTCTCAGGATAATATAATATTAATGGGACAAACGTCATAGTGCGAATAACGATCATGATTGTATCCAGAATTATCTGGAAGAATACAAAGATAACAATGAAATATTCTTTTCTTGAAAATCTTATATATCTTTTGTCTTACTTTAAGCCTAACGAAGAGAAATGCGCTTGCGACTAATTGAACAACTAAGGAAGACAGTTCTATAACACATGACAATCCAACTGCCCAAACTGCAAACGTGTAGTATGGTGGTAATATCTCTGTGGTGGAGAGCAAGAACAACCAAATGTATCCAAATAGGAAGGACATTACAATGCATATGGGTACTCTAAAACACATTAATTAATCCATACAATTTTGTTCAAAGAGAACAATTGAGTCTCTCAGAAAACAAACTGATGGATATATGATAATATTCTATATTTTTCCATAATTTCTTAATTTCAATAGCATGATTAGTTTTACAACTTTATCAATTTTTACATGCTTCTTATTTCATGAAGCTGATCAGTATAGTTTCTGAGATGATCAATTATCATGTAACTAAAGAACTAACGTCAGCCACGATAGATTTATAACTTGAGCCCAATTATGCTCCGCCGTGTTGGTCAGACATGCTTTCACAAATGGCTCGCGTGATAAGAACAGTATCATAGATTCCAGTAAGAGTAATCTCACATTAATGACACCTAGGATTGCCTGGCCCACATGACGAACAACAAATGCGTTCAGAACAAATGTAACGCAGCGACAGAATATCTGTGGAAGAAGAGTTTTTTCTAAAATTTTGTATGACGTAGTATTTGTCACAATACAGAAGCAGTGTCTCTAATTAATACTCTTAGATTAATACGAATGCTTCAAAGTACTCGGATTGTTTGCAAATAAAACTGCTATACCGGTTTCATCAACGTACCTGAAATACAATGCTAAACGAGGCATTTTCCAAGCTGCTCTTCAGGATATTCGGTGGCATTTTCAGACCGATTCGACAGAAGCATGTGCGTGAATGTTTCGAGATTCCCGCCGGGAGACGTAGAGAAACATTAACGTAGCCCCCTCTCCCAGGTTAGGTAAGGTTATGTGAGAGAACTACAATCTATCACGATCACAGGGACAACCAGGATAACGTTCGCCAATCATTTCCTCGGTTTCGTACGTATTATCGAGCCTTTTCTTTGCATAAGATCGATTCTGTCACAGCGGAAAAAGAAAATCCACGCTAATAACCGTAATTAGCGTGATAACATTTCGTGATCGTGATGTAACCACGTCGAAATCAGTCGAAATGCGGCAATACAGACGATTCAGCTGCAGACGCAGACCGCGTAGACAAGACAGACCATAAGACAGTTATGGATTAGAGATATTTACACGATACTATTTTTCGCTGCGGAGAAAAGCGTCGTGTAAACTGAGTAAACTGACCTGGTCGCTGATTGAAGATGATGACTAAAATTCGATTACTTGTAAACTTCGATTAATTTAATCAGCGATTTATTTGTTAATCGTAACTCATAACTATTTTCTTGATATAGATCTATTAATTAGAGAAACAAGAAATTATGCAGGTTGTATTTGAATAAGTGTACAATTTTTTATCGACGTAAATATATATTTCCAAACGTTAAAAAGAGTTTACATATAGGTGGTCTGTTTTCTGGTGCTGCACTAGAACTCTCTTTGACTCTCTTTCTCAACTTTCTTGCTTTCGACAAATATCAAACGTACCTTTCTCACTTTAAGTTCCAAAAGTCCACACTAATTCAACTACAGAAAACAAACCTATGGATTTAAGTCTGTTCTACGGTATATGCTCTTTGTTTTCTGTTCCTTGTTTTTTCTCCCTTTACAGCCGTTTTATCAACAATTGTATTTCTTGCTACGTATTTCTTGTTTCTTTCGAAGT